CTAACTGCGGTTAAGCAATTATAATTGTAACATTATTGTTGAAATGAGAATAAAGTTGTTGTTGTTGTAAGCCATCCATCCAAAAACAGTCCCATTTGTCAACCCTAGGAATAACAACTGGCAGAATAAATATAATCTTCTAAATCCTTTTATTTTAAATGCTTTTACTATATAAACTGTAAAAGAAAATCTTGTTTACAGTGCCGACACTTTTTTTGACATTTTTTGATAAATATCCAATCACAGCTCTCCGTAGAAAAATAGGAATCAACATTTTGTTACATAACTATCCAATCACAGCTCTCCGTAGAAAAATAGGAATCAACATCTTGTTACATAACTATCCAATCACAGCTCTCCGTAGAAAAATAGGAATGAATATCTTGTTACATAACTATCCAATCACAGCTCTCCGTAGAAAAATAGGAATCAAACACTTTTAGGCACCATCCAATCACAACAAATGACAGAAAATCTTTAGATGTGGTTAAATGGTTATAGAATGGTTAAATGTATCCAAAAAGATTTTATTTAATGACCTACTATTAAGTTTTAAATGTATAAATGGTATGGCCCGGAGTACTTATGTAAATATTTAAAAAAACGTTCCACAGTTCATGGGAGAAATACTAGAGGATCAAGTAGCATGGACATTCCTGGGTGCAGGTTGTCAACGGAACAACGCTGTTTTTATTATCGGGGAGTCAGCCAATGGAATGCACTTACTACTGATCTAAGAAATAGTATAAATATTAATAGTTTTAAATGTGGCCTTTTTAAAAGGATATTTAAAAAAGATTAGATTAGTATTTGTAGTTTTTATAGATTATCCTTATAGATTTCGAATAATTAAGTTTTCGTATATAGTTGTGATAATTATATTATATGCATATGGTTTTAATGGATTGTAAATTATTCTATACTTTATTTCTGTTACATTGTGGCTGAATAGCCCTGTCAAAGGGAGCCTCAATAAAGTTTGTATGTATGTATGTATGTATTTTTAGCTCACTCTGTGTGAACTTGTGAACTCCTAGATCAGGTATTGGGACCTGGTGGTATGCAAAACTGTGGCACAAAGTGCAAACTTTTAATGATTTACAGGGAAAAAATCCTTCATTGAGGAAGTAGCCATTATAAAATGAAATTTGACAGCAAATACAAGACAAGAGGCTCTGAAATGGCACGAAAACAATGTTGGAACCTAGGTAAGAACCTGGCTTCTGATTGGATGGTTCAAAAAATGTTAAAATAACCTTGAATTGTTCATGGTTCAAGTATCCACACAGTAATGGTTTATTACTTGATCAGTTGAAATGCATAACTCAATATCCCTTGAGATATAAATAACAATGAAACAGCTTCAATGTTGGTTGATGTAACAAGAGAAGCTAATGGGAAATGCTTTGTATACATGTAGTTAACCAACATGGCGGCTACTTCCTAGACATCCCGCATATCAACATCTTGTTGCATACAGGAAACATACGTTTTCTATTTATTAAAAATCCCCTTCCCAGGCATCCCAGCCACTTTTTAGACAAATTTGATAGGAAATATAGGCTGTGCAAGTTCTAAATATAGGAAAATATAGGATTTTTTCCCAAAAATATATGCACTTTATAGGAGCTAAGATAGCTTTTCGGTGGCGTAACCAGGGATTGGGAGGGTGCATAGGCAATGATTTGCAGAACTAAAAAGCCATAAAAAAAACAGAACCAAAAAAAAAGAGGGCCATTTTATTTCCTTCGTCATATGCTAAACTGTGTAAAATATAGATGTATCAATCAGCAGTCGTCCTATTTATAGGAAATATAGGAGGTTTTCTTTAAATATAGGCTCTTTATAGGATCCTATACAAATTATAGGAAATATAGGAGGTCTGGGATGCCTGCCTTCCTATATGCACTCTAGTTGTCAAGAACTGTGCTGTTTGAAATGAGCTATGCATGCACACAGCCTACTTTGCAAAGAACTAATGAAAAAGCATTTGAAAATACTTTTTTTTTAAATAAAACAAAACAGGTTTTTCTAAGCTACATTAACAAAATTTCTAATTAAAGAGAATTGTATTTGATTTGTGCAGTAAAATGAGGGATGATTAATCACATTCTGTTCTTTTTTCTTCAAATTTTTTGATTCTTACGGATCCCAAGAAATTATTATTTCTTCCTAATACTCTTTAACTTTGTTGATATTATTCTAATTTATAATTATTTGAATGTAATTCTTAAAGAAGATAGGTATGGATTGAAAAAATATTAAGATAGAAGTTCTACATATTTGAATTACAGAAACCCTAAACTACAGAGCATAAGAACTGTTTTTGTTTCTTTTTATCCCTCTTTCTAACTTATAAAGACACATGTTTTATCGTAACAGTTACCAGAGATACTGTCCATAATCAAAAAAAAAATCAAAAATCAACCACTCCCTCTTTCTATTGTTTGATGTCGGGTTTGAATTTCGATAGCAAACCTGTCCTGGGTTTTGAATTCAGCATTGATACTAACAGGGGAGAGCAGGGCTGAATTCAAAACCTTGGACTGGTTTTTAATCGAAATTCAAACCCTCCATCAAACATTAAAAATAGGGTTTGGTTGTTTTTTAAACCAGTTAAAATGCAAGTGACCGGATTTCCATTGCGGCCCTCAATCTTGAATTTCAATGCAAACCCTTGCCCTAGCCCCAGGGGGTGTACTCGGGTGGGTAACATGACGGGGAGGTCCAACACATTTTTTTGGGTTGACCATTTTTGTTCCCGGTATTTTTTTGCGTCAAGGGACCAGCCACATATTTTTTTAGGTCTCGAAATGAAATGCGTATTTTTTTGGGTCGTCATATCTCCGAGTTTTTGTATCAGAAAATTTTTTTCCAGCAAGGCGTGAGTGAGTCCCTCAAAATGAATTCAATAAATCAGTTTTGAAGTATTTAAGTCTTGTATTTTTTTAGGTCAGAAATTTGGATGTCATGTATTTTTTTTTTTGGGTGTATAATTTCAGGTTTGAGTGTTTTTTGGGGGGGTTCAAATATGAAGCTGCGTCGGACCCCCCCCCCCTCCCGTCATGTTACCCACCCGAGTACACTCCTTGGTGCCCTAGCATTTTAACATTTATGTATACACTTATTTCAATGAAGTTAGTCACCTGAAAAGCTTTAAAGCTGAGGCCGACAAGGATTATGAGTAGATTCATTTTACACGTTCAACCGCCTGATAACTGTTCATGGACTTGCGAATCCTTTACCGGTTACAGTCTCACCTCTTCTGAGCATCATCGAGCTGCAGTTTGTATTAAAAAAGCTTTGTATATATATGCTTTTTTGATATGAAAAGTTTCCCATGATGCTCAGTGATCTCAGCTTTCTAGGTTTTTGGTGACTAACTTTATTGAAATAAGTGTAAACCTACTAAGGGTCTATCACAAATCCTGCACTATGTTTGGCTGAGCTTTTAATGATCTATTAGTGATAGACCACTACGAAGTCGTGAAAAGTACGTGCCGAGGCAATTTTGAAACCAAAACAATGTGACTATTTACTACATACAGGTGTAYGTTCAAAATTGTTTGCATCAACGTATTTGACAGATTAGTAGGTTTATAAGAAAACAATAAGCCTTTTGCTGCTGACCTAATTGTTAAATATGACAACTAATAGTCCCCTTCACAGTTCCCTGCGCCATCTTGAAACGTAGCCGTGCCTTTGCATCGAAGTGACACGAACGGTGAGCTTGCAATGATAAAGACCTTTTTTTAACATCTTGGACAATTATTCACATGTCTCTATCATTGCAAGCTCACTGTTCATGTCGCTTTGATGCAATGGCACGGTTACCTTTCAAGATGGCACAGGGAACTGTGAAGGGGACTATTACAAGATGCATGTGTGATGTTCATAGTGATCACCTCTCACCAAGGCAACCTGGGTTTGATTCCTTGAATTGTTTTCCTATGTGAATAGGGATGTTTGTTGGTTCTCTGGTATTTCTCACTCCACAAAGATCGACTTCTAAATTCAAAATGGAATTCAGTGGATGCTGTGGAAATGCCACTGTTGAATGCAATTTCATTTATTTATTTTATTCAAGCAAGCTACAGTGCTCCATGTTGGTGCACTTGTGACTACCTAGCTCTTCGTTTTAAATATAAATTTTTCTAAATTGAATTTTTCTAAACCTTGAAGCAAACTAAGCACATTACAACGTTCTTGATACTTTTTGTTCCTAGTTCTTGAGGAGGCTTCATGAAAAGTTTGAAGTTTCCATTTTTTTTAGATTATTTGACATCTACTTACATATCTTTCATGGACTCAGTTAGTTGAGTATAGTTAGTACCATCCCCAGGAAGTGTAGACGGCACAGTAGGCCACAGCCAGGAAATGTACCATTTTTTCCCCAAAATCTCCACAAAATTATCTACCACACCTTTGTCGTAGAGACGCTTTTTCTTCTTCCGCTCATACGAGGTTTGACCACGTGAAATAATGTTGACTTGGAAGAAAAGAAGAAAGGAGAACATGACGAAGGCAAACAAAGAAATTCCAGCCATAAAGGTTACGAATGTCTGAAAGACTGTAGTATGTCCAACCATCCACGATAACATTGGCATAAACATAGTGAACATGGTGGCCCAGCCAAATGTGCCAATAACAGAAGTAACGTATTGCCAGTGGAAAATATTCGCGTATAAAGCACCCAGCCACAAGTACAGGGCTAAGAACAGATAATAACGGTAGTTGGAATGGCCAACACATTTACCAGCGAAGATACAGTGATGATCTCTTCTCAACACACAAACGTTACAAGCATGGCAATGGTGAGCTCTTGGTGGGGCGTTCATTTGGCAATAAGGACAGTACGTCCAGCCTGGCTTTAGTACTGATGGTAAAGCTAAGTTAGCACCGGTTATATCCGTCATGATTACTTGATAAAGATTAGAGAACACATTTAAGAATAGAAATAAGCCGCAGACGACGTGGATCAGATACCATGGCGAGAAAGGCTCGTGGAACTCAGGCAGAACAACGAAGAGCTCAAACAAAGCGATCACCCACAACATCACAAACATGAATACGAATGCTGCCAAATCCGAACCTTTCTTCGGTAAAATACGATGAATAAAGGAAGCCATGATGTCATTTGACTTATCCAAGACCTAAAACCAAAGAAGTCGTCGCCAAATATTGGATATTTAATGAATAATATTGGTTTAAACTTGCTTCCAGTTGAAGAACCTTCAACTATGTGCTCGTACAGGACTGGGAATCAGTACACAGGAAGCCCAACAAGAGCCGAACCCGCTTCAAAATCAGCGCGCGGGTCTTAAAATCCTCGTTACCGCAGGCAATGTTTGTAAGGAATCGAGCTTTAATATCCACAGTTTTGTTGGGTTTTATTTTCGCAATAGGAATCCTAAAGTTGCAGTCAATTTTTTTCAGTTCAGGACGTTCAGATGATAGATTATTATCAATCATATTTGTAGGAGGATTTCCCAGGAGTGGGACGACGTTAATGAGAGTATTGCTCGACAGTCATCCTCAGATAAGATGTGGTCAAGAAACTCATGTTATTCCAAAGCTATTACTTCATGTTGGTCACTACAAGAGGCGAGAAAAGGCTCGACTAGATGCTGCTGGAGTGACAGAAGACGTTTTAGACTCAGCAGTTGCTTCATTTATTTTACAAATTATTAAACGACACGGTAAATCAGCAGCTCGCTTATGCAACAAAGACCCCTTGACGCTAAGAAACATGACTTATCTTGCAAAACTTTTCCCGAATTCTAGATTTGTACTGATGGTTCGTGATGGACGCGCTGTTGTTCACTCATTGTTGTCCAGGAATATTGTCATACGTGGAATCCAACTATAGCTATGAGCACCTGTTAAGAACGTGGAGTGATACCATGACAAGTATGACAAAGCAGTGTTATTCTTTGATTCCTCGACAGTGTATTTTGGTACATTATGAACATCTTGTGCTGTTTCCAGCCCAGACTATGAAGAGAGTAATGCAGTTTGTGGGTGTTGAATGGAATGATCAAGTACTCCATCATGAACAACTGATAGGAAAGCCAATGGGACCTGTCGTCTCCAGGTACCTGTTTTATTTACTCAACTCTCTTTCCCCGTCGTTATATGTCAGTAGAGTTACCTTTGTTGGTTCTCTATAGCTTGGGCTTTGAGGGTTTTTGTCCAGTTCTCCGCCCGGTTTTCCACTTTTCTCGCAAAACAAAATCTTACATAAATTGCAATAGTCCTGAATTCGCTTGAGACACTAAAGCTAATATACAGGAAATGTCTACTTGGTCCGATATTAGGCCACAGTTCATTTTTCTTCACAAATTTACGATTTATCCACGTGGGTTGTGCAACATATAGAGCACGCTAGTTTGATAACTGTGTTAATTCCAGTCGATCAGTGGTCCAGGCTTGTAATCATCCACACGCCCAACACTCATACACTGAAGTTTTTTTTTATTGACAGGCTTGAAAAATCTAGTGGTCAAGTGAAGCAGCCTATCTACTACAGTTCTCTTTACAACTGGACATATGTTCTGCCCTCGACGGTAAAGCGATCTGTTGATAAACTGGCCCCAGTCCTTGCAGAGCTTGGATACGAAACAACAAGTGATGTACCTGACTATTCTAAGATAAAGTTCTCTGTTGGTGGATTGACATAAAGGGAAATGTCTACAGATTTTCTGAGTAACGCTACTAGTCACGCACTGCAGTCACTGCAACGGTATCACAAGTTTTCTTGACTGAAAGATTCACTCCCAACGGCAAGTGACACGTATAATAAAGATTGCAGGCGGCTAGGAAGGAATGAACATTGAAAACAAGCCTGCACATAAGCACACATGTGTGATAGGCACACTTGCGTGATGAGTGGTGCATTTAACGATTAGTACCGCAGGCCGAATGAAGACGAGAGGTCTAAGTGTTTTAGTAAATGGATACGAAAAAATTGAAATTTAAAACAAATTGCGTTGTTTCGTTTTTCAAAACCGGCTCTTTTCGCTACTAGTAGCGCAGCCAATCAGGGCGCAGGATCTGCGATAGACCATCCGTAGGTATATACGCATGCTACTTTGGGAGTCGTCCACGATCATCTATTATATCCTTTTTTTATTTATTTTTTACTCAAAATGTTTGAATATCTATCTATTGTATTTACATTTCTTTATTTGTGATCAGTAAAAATAACATTGAATAGCGCGCCGCAACCGTGACGTCATAAAAACGAAGACAAAGGCAAAATTCGGACAAACAAACTTACAAGTTTACTTTCAGCAGATAATTTTCTCAGCCGATCGCAGTTGATCTTAGTTTACGTGGGTTATTATTGTAACTTTAAGTAGAAATAATAAAATCGGTTCGTATAATCCTCGTAGAGGTTAAACAGAATGCAATGTTTGTCTGAATCTTTAAGCTATTTTTAGAATCAGCGCGCTGCGCTATTGACTGAATTAATGGGAGACTTTGCTCGTAGTACAGTTTTATGACAAGAAAGCATGGACAGGTAAGGTTTTTCCCCAAGCGTAAAATTTTATGAATGAAAGCCGGTTCTGCGAAAATTACCCGGTGGCCGGGAGAGGGGTGTCGGGTACTGGGGGAGATAGGATAGGGGCTGACCTTACCTAAGACAAAAATATATTTAAAAACTTAACATGCCCTATTTAAGACACAACACTGCAATTTATTCCTAGTTATAAACCCTTGCTAGCATCAAAAGGAATTATACCCTTTCAGTTGGAAGATACCAACGCGCCAGGCTCGTACCCCGAGGAATGAGACCGAGGAGCTCTAGGCACGAGACTGGATACCGGCGCCCTAAAAATCGTTTGGCTGCAACTGGTGAGACTTGGAAATGAACCTATCCAATAAGATGATCCGATCAAGACCTGATCAACATCATGGAAATGGTACGCCTGTCTAACACCAAAATACAAAGAAACCGTATTCTATTCTGCGAACGTCCTCGTACAGTTCTCCAACCCCCCCCCCCCCCCGGGAAATTAGCGACATTTGATATTCCACTCGAAAACACTTTAATAGCGACTTAGAGGAAGGCAACCCCGGAAATGTTATTTCCCTTGACGTAATAATTATGCGAATAGACGTCAAGTCCCGCCAAGATAGAGTTTTATCGAAGATTGCAATCGAATTCACAATTTTTTGACAAGCAACACATAAAACCGTTACGAATTTATGTTTTGAAAAAAAATTAAAAAAAAAATAAACTGGTAAATATTTCCATCTACATTGTAAAGGCATGCTTGTTGGTTCCTTCCAAACATGAAGTCCTGACTACTTTGTCTACCACGTGATCATGAACACGTGTCGCTGTAGACTTCAGCCTGAGATAATATTAAAAGTAGCAGCTTGGCTCAGTTTTTGAAATTGCATTTCTGTCTTATTTTACGATTACTTACACACACAAAAAAAAAAAAAAAAAAAAAAAAAAAATTAGTGAATTGATTTCCTAAGCTTGTTTACCATATATTACCATAAAACGTCCAAAGCTGAAAAGTCATGAAATCGTTAGATAGATTTAGTCGGGTGACTAATTCAGAAGCAAGCGGTCTCTTTGATGGTCCTCAGCAGAAACTGGTCAGTGTCTTGAATAAAGGAAATGACTAATGACAGCCAAAATTCGCGCCAAGACCCACTTTCATGAGGTTTTCAAAAACTCTTTTCATTTTTAATATAAAACATTACATTGATAAGTGTTGGCTAAAACCAAACGATATTTGGTCTAAACTTGACTTTCCGAGTATAGTCTCTTGTCCTTTTCCTTTACTATACAGAGTCGGGCCAAGTTAGTTTTGTAACTTCTTCGCGAGAAGTGATGACTACAGTGGTTGTAAGTTCCAGAAGTAGTTTTTTACTTCGAAAAAAATATTCTCGAGTTATTTTTGCCGTATTTACGTGACTTAACGGCTGACAAGCTCCAAAGAAAGAAATTTACGGACAATTTTAATTCAATGGCTAATTATATCACTGCAGGAGTCGAATTATTTGTGATGACGAACTACAAACAACAACGACGGATGGTGATTGGGCAGGAAGAGAGCAGATGACCTTCGGGGCGATAGCGAAGAAAGCTTGATTGGCATTTTCATTGTTTTGTAAAGAATACCAATATTGTATGATCTATGCAAGGGGTCTCGCATTGAACAGATACTAAACGAGTTACAGTATGTTGTTGAGAAAAATGCGTTTGACGATCTTTTTTCTTCTGTGCCTTTTGATTGCTGTACTTTGTCAAGGAACACAACCAAAGAAAAATGTCGCCTCGCAAGATGTTGGCATGTCTTCCACTTTTAAACAAGAGATATTGAATCTAATGGGGCTCCCTCGTAGACCACGACCGAACATGGTAACTCGTCTGTACGGCCGACGATTCTCTGCTCCGTTGTACATGATGAAACTCTATAACAGTCTATCGCAGAACCAGACTTATCATGATGGATTCTGTTGTAATGGAACTATAGCAGATTGGAGAGCATTAGGAGCAGATACCATCATGAGTTACTTGAATCAAGGTATTTTATACTTAAACGCGCCCTGTGTGCTTTTGATGTTGTACTGTCAATTACATATTACGATTACTCGCTCATAAATATTGTTATCCTAAAATACTAAATTCAATTTTTGATGCTTCTTGAAGTATTGTAGTTCAGCGGGAATCTAATAGCGTGGGGTTTATCATTTTGACATGAATATGGTTTGGTAGATAAACGAATAGTTGTAATTCGTTTCATAGCAGTTTCGACCCCAAGTTTCCTGCGTGTTGTGCTTATAATTAATGATTACATTCCCACGTGTTTACTATTAATCCGGTCGCCTTTTCCAAGTTCATGTTGTTTACACTGATAAAACTGAAGGTCGTTATCAATGTGTTTAGTCTTCGACTTTCCGCTCCTTATATTTCAGTTTTGATTTATCAAAAAATATTTATAAGTAAATGGCTGTTACGATAGGAATGGGGTATGACAAAGACGGGGTAGGGGATGATAGGGGAAGGTACAGTATCGATCAAGGCTAATAAACAAAAATAACCCACCTTACAGCAGTTTGGAGGACTTGACCTTTGCGAATATAATATTCAGCTCCTCCTCGATGAGTTTAATGAAAGCTAAAGTCAATGAACATCCGGATGCAGCAGTAGGCTTTTTTAGGGACGGACAATAGCGCAGCGCGCTTATTCTAAAAATAGCTTAAAGATTCGGACAAACATTGTATTCTGTTTAACCGCTACGAGGATTATACGAACCGATTTTATTATTTTTACTTAAAGTTACAATAATAACCCGTGTAAACTAAGATCAACTGCGATCGGCTGTGAAAATTATCTGCTGAAAGTAAACTTGTAAGTTTGTTTGTCCGAATTTCGTCTTTGTCTTCGTTTTTATGACGTCACGGCTGCGCTGCGCTATTAGATATAGGCTGTGTTTTCACTAGGACAATTTAAACTAGCTTAAATATAACACCGGAAATAAGGCAAAGTTAAACTACCTAGCAAGATGGTTTAAGTTGTCCTACCAAATAAATGGGCCAATCACAGTGTTATTGTTGAAAGGTGGTTGTCGGATTAAAACACCTCCAGGAATTTTAGGCAAGTTAACATTTCTAGTGAAAACACGGCCATAGTCTGCGTAAATCCCCAAAAAATTTCAAGCAAGCATTTTACCTACGAAAGAAAAAAAAAAAATCGCGCAACCTCTCCTTTTAATAAACAAATATCGAGCAAGGAACAAAAAATGCGTTCAGGGCTTGATACAAAAAGCAAAAAACAAACAAAACCTTTGCAGTTAAGCAATCATCGCTTGGGCAAGTTGACAGCAGTGAATTTGACACCTACTTCAACCGGTCATCACAAATCCATTAATATGCATATGTAATGTTATAGATGTCACTACCTGTGTAACTTTTCTTAGGGCTTGTTGATATGGAGACGAGCCAGCCCGGTAAGTGGGCTAGCCTGCTTTGCCGAGATGAATTTTTGATTGCGTTTATATGGGAAAATTCAACCCGCTTACCGGGATGCAAATCAATCAAGCGATTATCCAGCCTCGTGTGCATACGTAGTAGAAAAACATTCAGCCCAGTAACTGGGCTAGAATATTTTCATCCCGCTTAACGAGATCTCAGTACCTTTCAACCGAGAAGCTCGGCAAGCGAGCCAGCCCGCTTACCCATATAAACGCAAAGGAATTTTTACAAAGAAAATAGGCGAAGCCAAGATCTCGGTAAAGCGGCCCCTAAGTTTTGAATCATTATATAGCTTTGCTCCCCTCGGCTTAACCTTCTTGTTCCACTGACTGAAACCTCCGGGGGGAAATATTGTCTGTGAACGTCGCAGCTCTTGCTACGAGCGGCTTAATTGCAATTTAAGGTTTCGCTTTTTATTTAGTCTTACGTCTGTAAGACGAACTTCCAGAAACGCTTATTTGTCAGGAATATGGTTTGTTTGCGGACGCGAAAAGATGCGTGGGAATGAAATAAAAGTATGTCCAGAGAAGATTGTCTGCGCACTTTTGTCTGCGCACTATACCTATACGTTACATCAGTCAACCGGCTTCAAAATAAAATACAACGTATTCTTATTATTTTATGCACTGAATACACTGGCCATGATGTTGATATGAAATTATTTTGCTTATGTTCTGCAGTGAAAGGAAAGCGACCCAAAATCTCCCACCATCATGCAATCTTCAAATTCAAAGTCGAATCTCCTCAAKGTGAAAAAGTTACAGCAACAGAGTTCCGTCTGTACAAGGAAATCATGCCAGCAGACAAACAGTCGTGGCGAAACTCCACGTATGTGGTTCGCTTGTACCAAATCATTTACCCAGCCCAGGTATTAGATCTACTGCAGACTAGAGTATTACGAAATTGGGAGAGTGGATGGCAGGCGTTTGATATCACAAAAGCTGGCAAAGTTTGGTCCGAAAATCCATCCAAAAATTATGGTCTCGAGTTGTCAATCGTCAATCTGTATGACGAAGAGGTCAGTCCATATCGGGCTGGTTTTGTTGGATTTCATGGGCCTCAAGAAAAACGACCGTTTCTGGTTTCATTTTTTCGCCAAGATGGCAATGGCGAATATTTCAAGCGATTTTACCCAGAAGAGGTRCGTCAGCACCGAGCTGCAAGAGTACCGCGTTCTCTCGACTCTCAATTAGGCGGGGGAGGGGGGAACTATCAGCAAGGCGGAAGTAAATTATGTCAACTTCGTCTTCTGCATGTCAGTTTTCGTAAACTTCGCTGGCAAGATTGGGTGATCGCGCCTGAAGGTTACTCCGCATTCTACTGTCACGGAGAGTGCTCTTTTCCTTTGAACTCCAATATGAATGCAACAAACCACGCTATCGTACAAACGCTTGTCCATCTGATGAATCCCAAGACAGTACCCAAACCCTGCTGTGCACCGACCAAGTTGTCTCCTATATCTGTATTGTTCTTTGATGACAGTAATAACGTTGTGTTGAAAAAGTACAACAGCATGGTTGTTAAAGCTTGTGGTTGTCACTAAAGGTACATTGTTCATAAGATCAGCAACCGTTCAAGATAACAGAAGACGTATCAAACGGCTAATGTCTGGTTTCACGATAGTTTTAGAATGAGGAATTCATCTCATGAACTTGGTGAACGCAGTGTACATTAAGTACGACAGTGGATATTATTCGGAATGATTTCAGGGGGGGGGGGGATCTGTTGTCTGGAAAGGCATCACATAGCGCCTTTTTAGGTCTTACCTTCTCCTTCATTCTTATTTTTCAACTCCAGACTAGTCACCCAATGCACCCCGAAGATCAGTCATGAACATCAGTCATGATTTTTGAAAAGTATGATTTTTTAAAGAAAACCTTTGCTTGACACAAGAGAAGACTGTTTTCATGCAGAATTTCAAGTTTTGAAAATTTATATCTTCGTGATTTTTGAAGTTACTTTCTTCAAAATCCAAGATTTTTAACATACTCTTTCCTGCTATCATAATCAGTCTTCTGTCTCGCAAGTTTTGGAGTTACACGATGAAAACTCATTGTAGAGAAATGATGGTCATGGTGTTGCAGTGTAAAGTACGAGCTACGATGTGGAAGTGTTCCATAAACGTGCTTTGCATGAAACATGATAAAACATTAAGTACAGTATGAGAACCTCTATTAGTGGCCAAGCGCAGGAATTGCCAAGCGGCCGCAAAATAGAGGCTGTCTGTTTAATGAGTGGCCGCTTTACAGAGGTTCTGCATGACTTCAGTCTATATTAGAGATTAAATAGATAACTAGGATTTGATGGTGCAGTTTTTATTGTTTTTAGAGCAATATATCAGTTTTATTATCAGTACATTATAAATAAATATGGAAGATAATAAGATACTAGCTGACTCGATGCTTGTTATAATACGTTAATCAAGCCATTTGGCCCCAACATTACGTGCAATAAATGAGAAGATATCGGAATACTCTTCAATCTGTAAAACAAAAATATATTCATGTAAATTAATAAAGGATTTCTAACAATATGGGAGTGATTTTGATTGAAAAAGCAGCTTCGACTACCACCATGCTCAAGGGTCAAATAAATGTGGGCTCTAAGCAACAACGCTTGTCTTTTTGTTAAAGCTGGAATAATGTTATCTTAAAACACATTGCTAGACCTTTGAGCAAACTAAGCCGGTTTAAAAAACACTAACGTAGTGAGGTCTCGGTCATAGGGGGAGAGATACAATGTACCATTTTCCCGCCAAAAAACGCGTGCGCGTTTCATCTTTCTAGTTTCCCGCCATATTCAAAGGTTTCTGCACTGGCTACGTCTTACCAGTTTGGCTGTTGGCTTGCCAAATCCATGACCTGCCTTTGTATCGACCCGGATCAATAAGGGATTCGACTGTCAATCAAAAAATATTGCATATATGAGGTTTATATAACTGTCACAAATTCTGTGTTTATATCACAGCACAGAGAGCATGTAGGAGAAAGCTTTACTATTGAAATAGAAAACGCTCGCGTGCTGTGTGGAGGTATAAATAACTGTTATCTCGCATTCTGCTTGGTAAGAGCATTCATATCCAAAATAACGGCTAATCTAATATTTATTTGATTAAAAAAATAACAGTGTGCTTGCTCCGCCACTCATCGTGCTTCTTCAAAACACTTCTCTTGTGTTCTGTCATTYCCCCCCTTATCACTACACACAGCACATGCGCGCGTTTTCTATTTCTTCAGTACACAAAACGACGTACCTGATGCTTGACTCCACCCAATGTGTGTTGAAGTTCAGCAATGTACTTGAAGGAGTGTAAAGGAACAACACGGTCATCATGGTCAGCAGTTAACAACAACACTGCGGGATACTGGACACCATTATCTGGGACTTTGATATTGTGAAGTGGAGAGTACCTGGAAATCATCCATGGATTGATAATCTAATGAGATCATAGTTGTATTTTGCGATCAAGTTCTTTACTTTCTTTATCTTTAACTTTTGTACGACTTATGTACCTATTTCTATGTAGATATCCTAGACATGAGTGAAAAACGTCTGCGCATGCTCTGAATCCGTATGCAAATTAGTCAAAACATAGGTAAATTTGACTTTCAAACATGCCTGATAAATTGGACTTCATAAAATGTTAAAACTTAGTGTCCATGCTTGAAACTTAAGGCTAATTCTTTGATATTGTGTTTGTTAATACAGTATCTTGGTCTGACAAAAGTATACTCTTGAACGTTTTTGTATACTTGGAGAAAACAAACATTGATTTTCTCACTCAAAAAAAAAAAAGTGCACGCATGCGCGAACGTTTTTCTCTAGTGTCGATATCCTAAGTATTGAACTGGAAGGGATTGCCTGCACTTCCCAATCTCTCTTTGGTCCTTAGAATAATCAAAAACTTACTTGATCAACCATTCAAATTCTTCTTTTTTGTCAGAGCATCCAAAGTCTGTGGTCCTGTTGATAGAATGATCTTTGCTGTCATCTTTAACATTCCGAAGATTACACTAATGATCCTATTTCACATGATAGAGTAAGATTACTATATCTGTAAAACAGTGCTTATACAATCAATTACGAAGGCCTTGTCAGGTTCTGGGAAATGACATAATTCTCCTCTGAATACACTGTCGATATGAAACATGTGTTTAAGTCTCCATACTTTATGTTAGGAACATTCCACGAGTCGTATCACTAGATACATCTAATTAGGTTAACGTACTTCCCATGCAGGGGCGGATCCAGGGGGGTTCGACCATGATGCTTTGCGTTAAAACGATAGAAGTTCTTATTTGATGTTATAGTGATATAGGGCAATTCTAACTGAGACAACCGTTAAACAAATTCAA